GCCAGGTGCAGGGTCTGCTGGCTGGGTGCTGGCAGGCTTGCACCTGGCACGGGCACCGTAGCCAGCCCGTGCCCCTTTAAGGGGGCCGGGGCCCGGCAGGCCAGTTTCCCTGGTGTTGGCCAGAGTGGCCACCAGGGAAACCTGGGGAGGGCTAGCCTCCCACTAGGTCGAATTAAAGGGCTACACACCCCTTAATTCGAACTAGCTAGTTCGAACTAGGCTTAATCCTCGTAAAATGAGGTTTTCCTAGTTCGAACTAAGCGCTCCGCTAGTTCGAATTAAATTAAATTCGAACTAGCGGAGCGCTAGTGTAGTGCCTATTAAAGTTAGTTCGAACTAACGTCTGTTAGTTCGAACTAACTTTGTAGTGTAGACATACCCTAGGAAAGTGGAATTGTTACTTTATGTAGTGTATGTTTTGGAATTACAAATATTTATTAAAATACTTTGTTTCTACTTTAGGTTTGTTGCTATTGCTTTCCAGTTAAGGAATAAATTTAGCATTGTATTTGATGGTATTTCAGTCTTATTTTTAAAATGTATCTAAATAGAAACTCTTTTGAGGATATCCCACAAAGAAGTACTCTACAGTGCTAGCATTTGAAAAATGGAATATAATGTAGTAGGATTTTTTTTATATTAAAATCTCCATGGTTTTTATTGGTTGTTGAGTACTTCCTTGTAGTTGAAAATCAAGGAATGTAGTTTTAGAGGTGATTATAACTTATCACATTTGCATTTCAGAAGGGCTGAATAGGGTTGGTAGGCTTTATTTTCCTATCAAAGAAGGAAGTCTCATAGTTTAAATACTGACCAGTGATTTTGTTTGTTTTATAAAGTTATTTGATAAGTGTTATCTAATAATTCTCCTTAATTTAAGGAAAAGATTCCAAGTATAATATGAAGTCATAGCAGTTGACTAGTTTTTCAGTAGCATTACTTACTGGAACTGCTAACATTCCAGGTAGTGTTGAATTTTACTGCATTTTAGTTACTATTTTTTCAAAATGTATCCTATAAAATACATCTTATAGTTCAGTACATTTGGAAGTTAATATTACCCATTAGAATATTCCTTTGGCACAGGGAGCTTATATTCTTGACATCCAGTTTTAGTGTGTTTAGATAGTTTCAGTTCTAGGTGTCAGGTACCAGTACCACTTACAAAATTTAGGGTTAAACTTTGCCATCTAGGTGAATTTCATTGAGTTTGAAATACTTTAACTTAAGGATCTTATTGTCATTTATGAAGTGTCCCCATTATTGATTGGGTCCCTACATAGCCTCATTGGACTCATAGCCTGAGGGCTAGGTATCACCTTCACACTCATTAGATTGCTGAACTGGCCATTGAGCAGACACACAAGTTCTAAGGAGTGGTCCTTTTACAAGGAAGCCCTCAGATGGTGTCCTCTTGTTTGAAGAACCCAGATTGAAAAACACCCTCCTTGGCCTTGCTGGTCAGGCCCTGTCCCATGGGAGCTTAGGCTTCATCAGTCTCTCTTGCAGGAAGATGATCCCCTGTCCTCTGGTACAAGAGCCTCAGCTTATCAGCCTGTCACCTCACCACAAAATTGGATTTCACTGAGGAAGGAGGAATCATGGAGGAACCCCTGGGTCCTTTCCCATGTTTCCTCCTCATCTCTGGATGACATTCTTATACTTGAATCCCCTTCTTTGCCCTCCAGATGATTTCTATATGTCTTTTAGTATCTGATTAGAGAAGTGGACCACTTTGCTGCGAGTGTAAGTGGAACTCTTTGAAGAGATTTTACTTACCTTCTTTGATGTTTTACAGACTCCCACTTATGGGAGGAGTTGCCCTTCCAATTAACAAGTCCTTGCTGCCCACAAAAACCTACTAGCAGACCCTG